TCAAAAGATGAAAATTCAGTTCTCTGACGTCAGAATCCAGTTTGTCCAATTCTAAAAGTTTGTCCCAATGAGGTCTCTGACCATATTATTCAATCTTGTTTAAACTAGTCACAGGATTTTCAAAACAACAACAATGCTCTTGCTCTGCTATATCTGCCGTATTTTTTGTTGTGGTGGCTGTAAATGTGTCTAAATTTCTAAAATGTTTCCAACCATTTCCATATGTTTATATTCCCCATTAACTTAAACTACTGATAAAAATATGCAACAATAACTGATAAGAATTGTCAATAAGACAAAGCGATAAATATAAATTTCAAACCGTGTTTTGAAATACTCAACACAGTTCCCTTTGGTAAACAAATATTGATGGAATATTATAGATATTCAACTAACCTTGATAGTTAATTAAAAAAAATACTTATCTATATATCAAAACTATTTATATAAAGAATGCGTAATTAAGTATCGCTGATTCTGTCTCATCTGAATCATAATTGAATGGAAGGGGGGATAATTTTACATTTTTAGAGATCAATATTTTTATTTTACCATCTTATAACGATTTTGGGTGGTTAAAAGTGAACATTCCTAAAACTTTTTAGCGTTTCTTGCCCCTTTTGCATTTTTAACTATTAATTCCATTTAAACCAGTGATGACAATCAGAAATGATACACAACTACGATTGAGCATGAAATCCATAGGTCGTTACACCCATCAAATATCTGTTTTTTTTTTCCTCAATAACAACTTGGATGTGTTTAAAGAAAACGTGTTTAACACTAGCATTTTCGTCCCTTTTCGCATTTTTTAATTACTCATTTAATTTAAACAAGCGATTAATTAATTAGAAATTATGCCAAAACTGCAACGATTGAGCAATGCAGAGGTCGTTATATCCATCAATTTTTTTTCTTAATAACTGGGGTGTGTTTAAAGTAAACGTGGCAGAAACTCTTTTGCGTTTTCCGCTGTTTTCCAATTTCTTTAATTAGTCATTTAATTCAAGCGACCGATAAAACAATCAGAAATGACGCAAAAATTAAGATTGTGCACTTAATCCATAGGTCGTTATACCCATCAAATAATGTTTTTCTTTATTTTGTTTATTCTTAATAACAAATTGACCATGTTTGAAGTAAACGCGAGAAAACCTTTTTTTGACGTTTTCTACCCGTTTTGCCTTTTTTTTAGTTAACCATTTAATTTATGCCATGGATAAAATAAAGAGAAATTATGCAAAACCTATAGTGTCTGAGATGTTATACACAACCAATAATAATGTTTTATTTATTTGTATATTCTTAATAACAAATTGAGCGTGTTTAAAGTGAACATCGGAAAACCTTTTTAACGTTTTCTAACCTTTTCGCATTTTTTAAATTAACCATTTAATTTATGCCAGGGATAAAATAAAGACAAATGATGCAAAAACTATAGCGACTGAGATGTTATACACATCCAATAATGTTTTTTTAAATTTTGTTTATTCTTAATAACAAATTGACCGTGTTTGAACTAAACGCGAGAAAACCTTTTTTGACGTTTTCTACCCGTTTTGCCTTTTTTTTAGTTAACCATTTAATTTATGCCAGGGATAAAATAAAGAGAAATTATGCAAAAACTATAGTGTCTGAGATGTTATACACAACCAATAATAATGTTTTATTTATTTGTATATTCTTAATAACAAATTGAGCGTGTTTAAAGTGAACATCGGAAAACCTTTTTAGCGTTTTCTAACCTTTTCGCATTTTTTAAATTAACCATTTAATTTAAACCAGAAATAAAATAAAAAGACATGATGAATAAAAACTATAACAATTGAGCATTAAATCCGTAGGTCTTATACCCATAAAATGTTAATGTTTTTATTTATTTTCTTTATAACAAATTGTGTTAAAAGTAAACGTACCCAAACCTTTTTAGCATTTCCTACTCTTTTTACAGACTTATACATTTTAAAAAGGATTACCTTTTTTTGTATGAGTTAACACGAATGTAATGTGTGATCAGAATGAATCTAACTCTACAGTATGGGCCATCATAGGCCCGTGCATTGGTCACCAAAATGGGGCCAGCATGGTCACTATGGCCTATAGTTGGTTACTTTTCCTTTGCCGTGATGGCTAGCGATGTCGTGAAAATCGCTGCTGCTACTTTGTGCTTGGCTAGGAAGTATAAGATGGGATTGGTGTACTTGAACGAATTATGGAGTTAATTTTAAGGCCTAAACAAAGGATTTTGTCTAGGGAGCAAGCCTAAACTCGACAGTCGCGTGCTGGGAGCAGGGCAGCCTCCACGTGCAGGTCAGGTAGACTTTAAGTTTCGTAGTATTTTTTATTATGCCATAAAGTCAAAATTTTGAAAACGGGCACTGTTTTTGAACGCTTTGGATGAACTAGCTTATCGGCTGATGGCGAAATTGTCTGTGCCAGACAAACCGGAAGAGAAGTCTTATGAAGAATTGGCTAAGCGGTTCGATAAACATTCTGTCGAGTCGACCTTCACTGCTCATTTTAAATTCCATCATGCAGCCAAAGAGCCTCAAGAAATCTTAAATGAGTGGTTGGCCAGGCTTAGGGAATGAATCATGACCCAAATAATTGCAGATACAAAAGTTCCTCTTGTAGACAGTGGGACCACTTAGAAAGGGTTTGCCGCAGTAATCCAGTAAAACATGAAAATGTAGACCAGACAGAAAAGCAGTCCTTATTCCCTAAAAAGATAACAAGCTGGAAGGAACCCATTTTGTGAGAGAGGAGTCAGGTCAGATAGCGAGGAAAATTTATTTAATATAAATTTATTTCATGTCTAACCTCGAAGTCAGGATATATAGTGGAAATGTAGCTAGAGGACATCGAGGTTGTGTTCGATCTTGATACGGGATGTTATAGCACAATAATACCACACTCATTGTATTTAGAGAAATTGCCACATGCTCATTTGGCTCCATCCACAAAGACGTGCGTCGCATTAAAAAAAAATAATAATTTAAAAAAAACTTCATCCAAGGTCACTTAAAAATTGGAGTAAATTATAAATGAAAGTGCTACTCGAATATGGTATGCAGTGGTGGAGTCTGAGGGCCTTCATTATTGGGACAGTAGTGGTTTGAGAAACAAGGGTTCCAAATTGTGGATGGTTCAGCCCAAGCATTTTTTTTCAGAATGATATCGATTAACTGTGTGGAAAGCTGGGCCTCATTGTACCCAAAAGTTTTTAATCCTAGGCTTGGAACAGTTAACAAGGGACAAATAAAGTTGGAGTTGGTTCCTGATGTACCAAACATTTTCTAAAAGCTTGCCCTATCCATTGCAGGACAAAGTTAATGAGTTAATGGTGGAATAGACCAATTGGCCAAGAAAAGAATTATACAGCCCATTGAACCTTTTGCGGGGAGGTATTTTTTGGTAATGGCAGACACCCAATCTAAATGTTGGAAGCCTTCGAAACAAAATCTATGACAGCCACAATCACAATAAAACTGCTGCTCCAACAGTTAGCTAGATTCAGGCTGCCCAAAGTCCGATGTCAAATAACTACTCGTTGTTTCAGTCAGAAAAGTTCCGGAGCTTCCTCAGGAGGAACAGAGTTAACTTCAAGAGTGGAGCACCTCCCCTAAGACCAATGGGTTGAGGCTTTGCTGGACTTTTGAAATACACCTCATATGACTACAGGTGTCTCCTGCAGAAGCCTCAATGGTCGACTATTAATGTTTAGATTGGAACTTTTACGTCCTATCATGGGAGACAAAGTGGAGGAGAAACATAGGAAACAACTGGGCATTATGAAGATGTCAGTACAGAATTAGAAACAATTAAAATTAATGAGGTAGTCTGGGTTAAGAATTACCAAAAAAAAAAAAAAAAAATGAGGAGAACTGAGTGAAAGGAACCATCACATGTAAAGTTGTACCGAGGATGCTACTTGTGTTTGTGCCACACCTTAATCATACGTGGACAAGGCATTTAGACCTAGAGGTATTTCGGAACACGCATGGAACACTGGAAACCTCAGATAAAATAACTCCGAAACAAGAGACAGTCTGAGTGCATGTATTTATTAGCGTGAAGGGTGAGGGTGAAATATAAAGTCATCATCACCCCTCGAACGATGAGAGCGTAAGAGTGTGTGTTCAGGGTCGATGGCGGAATATTTATAAAATTACACCATCGACCCCAATCTAGAGGTCGGTGGAGGAATATCAAGTACTCCACCGACCAAACGGAATGAGTGTACTACATGGATGTATTTATGTGTCTGAATGTATTTATTTGTATGAATGTAGTGTTTGAAAGGGTAAATAGAATATAGACATAGTTGGGGGCTGAAATGACCTAGATGTCGGAAGCCCCAGTCAAAAAAAAAAAAAAAAAAAAAAAAAAGTTCGACAGGGAACATGGAAGCTTCTGTATACTCACTAGAGAATGATGAAGCTAGTTGGCTAAGCGATTGATTGTGGACTTGAGATTTCTTTAAACCTGTGCTAAAATAATAAGAAATTATAAAAACTATGATTGTGCAATTAATCCATAGGTTGCTACCCACCAATTTTTTTTTTAATATGTTTATTCTTCTTCCGGATCAGTGGTGACTAAAGACCTTTTTTCCATTGCGACCAAAAGGCACTATTGTGGAATCGACCCTTGTTTATTCACCCCCCCCCTATTTGCTTGTTTCTTTGGTGTGTGCCTTTCCGAAGAGGCGGGGAATGCTTTGCAGTCACATAGAACATGTTCCGACCTCTCTGTTTCATGGCATATGGCATAGTTAGCAGGTTTCTGTCTCAGTCCCCCCCCCCCGGAGGTTGTAATTAATTGGGCAATGACTAGTAGAAAAGCCTATTTTCCTTAATTTTTGTTTTTGTAGTTGAGATGTCAAACGTCTTGGATTATTTTGCACCTGGTGAATTTATCCAGTGTTTAGAAGATAGTTAAATAAAAAAAAAAATTAACCAGTTTTGTGACATTTTATACTGATGTATGTTCGATTTCAGGGAGCGATAGTCCGACGTTTTTAAACCAGTCTGGCCATGGAATGTTTGGGACAAGTGAGGACAGGCAGCTGTCTTGTTCAAATGAGATATCCGCCCCTTACGAAGTCCCGCAGTTCCCTATTGAACAGATCGAGAGCAAGCTTGCTCGCCAAAGAGAACTTACCTCCAGGTAAAAGTAAAATATTTATGAATAATTTTTATATACTGACGCTATTTCTGTTTTAGAGTTACGAAAGATTTCGTAGGAAAGCGAAGCAATTATGAGCCATCGGTTGTCGGCTCGGTTACTGATGCAGAGGGAGACAAAGCCTTCAACATCGACGAACATGATTTCGTTCCCCACTTCCAAAGGGTTTCCATCAGTGGAGAAGACACAAGTGGAGTTAGTTTCATTTCAATCACTTACTGAAATAAAATTTACATCTTTGAACGTATTTCAAACACTTTCCTAATATATATAAAGTGGAAGGTTTATGGGCCGACAAACAGCTGAGGTCATCGCCGGCCCTCTGTGTGTTTTCCTTCTTTTTCTTTTCTTTCACGCATATTTTGTTTTAAACTGCAGCCATTTGAGCATCTCAATCTGGTTACTTACTCTCTGCTTTTACTTGTATATTACGTCGTTATTTTAAAATGCTAGCCTCTTGTTAGTACCTCAGGTTGTCAATTTAAAAATAGATACACAACATACAATATATAACATATATATCGCTACAAACATAGAAGTCTGGTCACATTCCCTCCCCCAGAGTACTCGATATTCCTCGGGGCGGGGCCGAACCCACTCCATTCGCGCTAATAACTTACTTTTGCCCCCCAGACATCACACTCTCACCCCAGAGTACTCGATATTCATCGGGTCGGGGTAAATAACCCCTTCCTTTCACGCAAATAAATTACATTCATCCTAATGTATTAACATAAACACCACACAAAAACTTCAGACACAACACAAACACACATAAACTATATACATTTGAAGATCCCTATAGCCCTGAGGTACCGGTACAGCGATTTGTGCCCGTACTTTCCTAATAATTATTCACATAACATTGCCAATCTTATTGAATATAAGCAATTTAAAATAATTAATTAAGTATAATAAAAATTAAAGAATACGATTTCATAAATGCCCAATAGGTCACCTGGAAAAATCTGTCAATGTTATTATTATTTTCCTGTTAGCTTATTTTTGAAGTGTTTGGTTCTTTTAATTTACCAAACTGATGAAAATTGCACAAATTAATTAGTACTGTAGGTTAGTAGTAGTCAGCCTCTTTAGGACTTTGCACCCTGCAACCAATATTCGTCTAATGTGCAAAATTATTACTGTAATTAATTTAGTACTTTTTAAAGTATTTTCAATATTATCTATGCTAATGCATTACCCATACAAACAAGGATTGAAAGCTGTGGCAGCTTGGCAGCCAGGCCATGGGAGATTACAGTGGTAAACTTAAGATTAACACTAAAATTTTATAACATGGTAAAAATGGATTGAAGATACGAATTTTTTTGAGATACGAATAAAATAAATTATGTGCCAGTTTTTCTTTTGCAATTTGGATGTTGGCGCATTTTAGTAAGGTTAAATAAGTTTGTCGTTTTATATGAAGGATGTAAGAGAGCCTAAAGCTGAAATATTTTTTATGCCTGTCCGTATAATTTGCATTTTTGTGGGGCTATTCTGCAGTTAAGGGCACTGCGGTCTGTGAACAATAGTTTCCAATCCACCCTTTCTACGGCACACTAGGATGACATGGTCCAGTTCAGTACATAATGTTTTATCACATTCACAGTTAGGGTGATTTAAAAAAGCAATTTTGGCCAGATGAAAAAGTAATTGTTTGTGGTTGAATTGCAATCTAAAAATGGTGGTAAAACATTTTCTTGGCATATTCCTGTCATGTGATACAGGAGGGCTTAATGTCCATCCTTTGGGTGTCGTGGATGAGGGATAAAATCACTTTACAATACTTTCCCTCTTTTATTTGCAATTAAAAATCTATGAGTTATGTTGGGATTCGAACCCAGGACTGCTAGCATGGCAATACGAATTGGATCTTCTTGGCCTATTTATTTGTTTGCAGCAGGACTTCCGTTGGCCATAATCTTGTTGCCATTTCTTTCACATATATATTTCACAGTTACAACAAATTTATGTGGCATCCCATTTATCGTTGCTTTCTTTCATGAGTTTTTATTCTTCTGATGGGTCGTGATAAAAATAATGTGTACGTCTGTTTTTAAAATCAAAGATTTCAGTTGCTAAGGGATATTTTTTCCTTGATGGATGTTTACCGTTCAGTTGGGTCTGCATGATTTAACATTGAAGATGGAGAAATTAACTTTACAGAACACACAGAGAAATCTCAAATTCATCATGCACTAATACCATTTCCTTGTAAATATTTCTTTATTTAATTAAAATGCATCAATTTTTTTACAAATCATGTTTTTAAACCTATCTTAATCTCAAAAACTTGAACTAAATTTAATTTTTAAACGCAAGCATCTGTTTATTTTATTTTCTAGTTCATGTTTTTCTATTAAGTGTGCTGTTAGGGAAATCACAATGCTATGATTACAAGATTTGAAATTATTGAGTGTTGCTCATTTTCATTTATTGTCAATAATTCTAGGTGCCGTTGGATGATTTGCACCGTGCTTCCAAGATGTTAATCGAAGCCTTGTACATAAGAGAACGCTACATGGCAATGTCTTTCCAGTCGTTTCCACTCTTAACATCTCGCTTTCTCAGAACGATTGACAAAAAGGCTCCAAACACTTGCTATACACATGAAGACAAAAAAACAATTGCAGGTTTGAACACGATTTGGAATTGTTTTGTCATTGGCGTCGTTTAGTGTTGAACAAAACCATAAAATCCTTTTTAATATTCATGCAATATTAAATTGTACGTCTTTTCCAGATCATCCAGTTCATGCCCCGCAAAGTGTCGGAGATCCGTGGGAATGCGATTTCCCCCCAGCAACTAATTATATAATTAAACCTAAATCGGGTGTATTTCAAGTTTACAAAGACCAGGAATCTTTAGAAAAGGGCGAAGCCTTAGACTACAAATATCCAAATTTAGCTACATTTGTGACTGACATGAACAAGCTTTGTGTCATGATTGCTGATGGACCACTGTGAGTAAAAGAAAAATTATTTTTTATATAAAACAAAATTTTACAATAAACTCACTAATTTCGTGGTCCGCTTGACCAATTAATTTATTACAATTAACAAAGGTTTTTACTTGAGATAAAAAGTCAATGCACGAGCGGGATTCGAACCCACGATCTTCGACTTGATACGCCGCTGCTCTCCCACTTGAGCTATCATAACCTTGATCCACTCGAACACTAACTTCCCATCTCAACCCCACCTTTTGAGTTTTCCCTCCTTTTTGCCATTTTTCAAATGTCGTGTAATCGGATTGGATTCTCGACGACAAATGAAATTGCCACGGAGAGCTTTAGTGAAGTATAATTCATTTTAATTCATTAAATTCACTAATTTCGTGGTCTGCTTGACCAATTAATACATTACAATTAATTAAGGTTTTTAGTTGAGATGAAAAAAAGTTAATGGCACGAGCGGGATTCGAACCCACGATCTTTGGCTTGATACGCCGCTGCTCTACCACTTGAGCTATCGTGACCTCGATCCACTTGGACATCAACTTCCTATCTCAACCCCACCTTATGAGTTTCCCCTCCGTTTTGCCATTTTTCAAATGTCGTGTAATCGCATTGGATTCTCGACGACAAATGAAATGGCCACGGAGAGCTTTAGTGAAGTATACTTCAATTTAATTAACTAAATTCACTAATTTCGTGGCCACCCAAGCCGAAGATCGTGGGTTCGAATCCCGCTCGTGCCATTGATTTTTTTATCTCAACTAAAAACCTTAATTAATTGTAATTTTACAATAAATGTAAAGAGTTTCAAAAATTAAAAGTACTCTATGAAAGTCTATAAAGTAGACGAATGAAATGTTATATTTTTATACTGTTTTTTATATACGTTGTTTGTCTATTTTCAGAAAATCATTTTGCTATAGACGGTTGAGCTATTTGTCTTCCAAGTTTCAGCTACATGTACTTTTGAATGAACTTCGTGAGCTTGCATCACAAAAAGCTGTACCTCATCGAGATTTTTATAATATAAGAAAGGTAAAGCAACTGTTAATAAATAACTCTGGTTTTTATAATTAGATAATGTTAAGAATGACAATTTTAAGTAAATTTATTGTCGATAATTTGTAGTAATGAAATTAATTTTTTGTGCATATCTCTCTCTTTCCCTTTCTATGGAAATAATCCGTGCCTAAACCCCAAACTTTCTAGTCACATATCCCTAAATGTGATATGTCAGACTTCCGGTGATATCTGAAATCTAAAGATTCCTCACCAATTCAGCTTCTGTTCTTGTCACTTCACGTCATTCAGTTGTAGATGCGGTATGCTTAATAGACTGACATGGAATTCCCACACTAGACTAAAATGACAAGAACTGAGTATAAGATTTGGTTGACTAAGAAGACTGCTAGAACCAGTCATGACTGAAAAATCCATAATTTTTTTGGACATAGGATGCAGAACTGAGGGGTATGACGAAGTCATCCAATATCAAACCCATCCAATCATTTGATTCAGAAGTCCCAAGAAAAATCCTACAAGCTTGCTGCTACATCACCATCCATAATGACCTCAACATTCCCTTTCTTTCAAGACTTCAAGACTACATCATTCGGTCACAAATTACGTATTTCAATATCTACAATCACCTTGGGTAGCTGCCAAATACAATTTCAACGTAGCAATCAAGGGATTTTTTTAAAGTTAGAGAATATTAAATATTCGTCTTTTGCACCCCTGAAAACTCCTACTTACAATTTTTTGAAAAATAAAAAGAAGAAATTCAAAATTTTTGCCTTGCTTCTGATTTTTATTCAAAATCACCAAAAAGTTGATAACTTTTAAATGACTCTGTTGATCTACCAGAATCTGTACAGAGGTTAAGAACAACCCACATAAACTATACATAATGGCTCAAATCTTACCTCCTGAAATAAATTAGGACCGGAGAAATAAAATGTTTTAGTTTTTGTCCTTTTTCTCTCGTTTATAATGACAAGATATTAAGATGTTGTTGACATAGCATGAAAGAAAAAATATTCGGATTTCAAAAAATAGTATAAACTTTAAAATTTTGGAGGAAATGGAGAAAAGTTATGAATTTTTAAAAAGGACACTGTACATCATAAAAAAATTAATTAAAAAATCGCATGACGAATCGAAACAAAAATGTATGTTTTGTTTATTGTGATGAAAAGTTGTATTTTAGTGTTAAAGGGTGTTTAAATAATATATGCACAACAAAGGTAGAAAAGCACATTTTAAAAAATATGTTTAAACTAGTTAAAATATTTTTTCCTTTTCTCCTAGGGCCCTTTGGTAAGAATGGTTGAACATATGCCAATTATTTTTTGATCTAGTATCACTAAAAAAGTTTCATTAAAATCTATGATCCTTCATATGTATTCACCAGCCTTGTTAGTTTTTGGAATAGAGTAAAAGTGGAAATGCTTGAAAATCCCCAAATGAGTTAATTATTTATGTTGTAATATCAGAGTTATTTTGGCTTTAAGCGATTGACATCAATTATCAAGAGTACTGCGCGGGCCAAGTGGTTGGGGCATCGTACCACCATGTATTGCTATGGGTTCAAATCCAAGCAAAGTCCAAGTCTTTTTGATAGAAAATAATATGAAAAAAAATATTGTTGTTTGAGCCCTTATCCCGACTACCCAAATCTGTATGCAATTGTTTCACACACAATCTTACAAACGGCCATATTATTTATAGTTTTGAAAAACATTAATGATGTTGAGAGTTAGTTAACTTTCTCTAATCATGAAGACATAAAAATTATCACATGTAAAATTTATTTCTGCAACTCCTAATTATTTTTTATTTTTAGGTGGATACCCATATACATGCAGCGTCTTGCATGAATCAGAAACATTTACTGCGGTTCATCAAGAAAACTCTGAAAAACCATTTGGATGAAGTGGTTACGCAAACAAAAGATGAGAAAATGACGCTGAAAGAAGTTTTCCAATCGATGAATTTGACATCATATGACCTGACTGTAGACATGCTAGACGTACACGCAGTAAGTTAAATGGAATATAAAGCTTATCCAGATAAGTAAATTTATACCGAAAATCTATAAAAAAAATTTGAATGAACATAACAAAATCAATTTGAAATATTTTCTATCGAATATTGTTTACGATGAGGACGTTTTGTATTCCCAAATCACTGTAGTCTTTTGACTTTTTGTACTCTTCCTAGTTCATTAGTTAAGTTCAATTGACTCCGTCCTACATTTAAGAAGTTGTAGGCCAATATTTTTTCAGGTCTTCTTCATACCCTTAGGTTATGTCTTCATTTTTCATTGAGCGGATTTCATTAGTATACCTGGCTGTTTCTTCCTTTGCATTGCATAACATACAAATTATGTATGTAAAAAAAAACTACAATACCCATTACTACATGATGTTAAATCCATGTTGTTAAATAAACAATTATATACTTCACCATCACATATTTCAAATTAATAGTTTTTTAATTTCAAAGTAACTCTTTTTAATTTCAAGTTAACTTTTTTTAACTTCAAATTAACCCTTTTTAATTTCAAATTTACCTTTACTAACTTCAAATTAACCCTTCTTAATTCCAATTAATTTTATTTAAATTTACACTTTTGAGTACCACTATTAAACACTCAATAATGAGGATTGAGACGCTAATAAACCTGTTTAAGAAATGTATGTGCTTGAGAGTCAACCCTGTCTACACCAAGACTTGTGAAATTAGGGTTAATTAATAAATTAACACAGTATACTTATGAGTATGTCTTATTATAATTGTGCTGCATTAACCTTTTTAATTTCAAAGTAACCTTTTTAACTTAAAATTAACCTTTTAATTTCAAATTATCCACTTTTAATAATGAATTAACGCTCTTAAACTTCAAATTCACCATTTCTTTAAATCATTAAACCAACTTAGGATATGGTATGAAAATAAGCATGTAAAATAAAATCTCTGTGTATTTGCAATTTTTTTGTATATAAAATAATTGGGCTTTTAGATGACTATAAAAACTGATAAAAAAACATATACATATAAAAATAAAGGCTAAGACAAAGAAATTGAAAAACTAATTTTAATAACGAATCATTAGCAGTAAGAATGTAGCTTTCTCTCTCAAATTAACTTAAAAAATCAAAATGTTCCTTTTTAATTTCAAGTTAATCTTTTTAATTGCAAATTAATCCTTTTTAATTTCAAATTAATAGTTTTTTTAATTTCAAAGTAACTCTTTTTAATTTCAAATTAACTTTTTTTAACTTCAAATTAGCCCTTTTTAATTTCAAATTTACCTTTACTATCTTCAAATTAACTTTTCCTAACATCAAAGTAACCCTTTTTACTTCAAATTAACCCTTTTAAATTTCAAAGTAACTTTTTCTTAGAAGGATTAAACACACTTAGGTTATAATATGAAAATATGTATGTAAAGTAAAACCTCTATCTATTGGAAAATTTTCTTTCATATGTAAAATAACTGGGTTTTTAAACGACCTTATACAAATTTACTAAAAAAAGTATATGTATAAAAAGAAAGGATAAGGCAACATCTGGACAATAAAAAAGAATCATTAGTAGTAGGAATGTAGCTTTTTTCCTCAAATTAACTTGAAAAAAAATGATCCTTTTTAATTTCAAATTAACCTTTCCTAACATCAAAATAACCCTTTTTACTTCAAACTAACCATTTTAAATTAATTACAATTAAAACTTATGTAAAATTAAATATATAAACAAATGATTGTTCTATTAATTCTTGATTTTTAACAAATATACAATAATTGGTTTTTTAAAAACCATGTGAAAAGTTAATAATAAAGTCACTATAAAAACATACGATTCGTCTGTTCATTCTACATTTTAAACAATTTAAAACAATTATTTTTTATATGAAACGTTTATACTTTTAAAAACCTTGAATCAAAGAAGAACCATTTGTTTTTATATTTAATTTTATGTAATCTAATTCCAATTTTTAATTAATATTCAGGTGTGTATTTTAGATAAGAATTTTCAAATTAAAAGAAGAACCCTTTATTTTTATATAACTTTTAATTTTAATTGTAATTAATTTTCACATGGTCATCTATTAGCAATATTGATTTTCAGTGTATTTGTTTTTTTCTATAATAGGACAGAAATACCTTTCATCGTTTTGACAAATTCAACGCCAAATACAATCCAATAGGCGAGAGTCGTTTACGAGAGGTGTTCCTTAAAACTGACAATTATCTAAACGGAAAGTATTTTGCAAGGATAATTAAAGTAAGATATCAAAATTTCTACCTCAAACTGCCAAATGCACAACAAAATGTATTTTACAGTTAATCAATTATAGGAGGTCGCTTCAGATTTGGAGGAAAGCAAATATCAAAATGCAGAACTTCGTTTATCTATCTATGGGAAGAACATAAACGAATGGGACAAATTAGCTACTTGGGCCATTACATATAATGTATACAGCGATAACGTTAGATGGTTAATTCAAATTCCACGTTTGTTGTAAGTAATTTTCAACAACAACAAACTTCAATTTTATTTTGTTGTATGCTTAGTATAATGATATAATTTAAAATTCCCTAGTTTATTAGAAAATAATTATCTTTACCTTTAAGTTTATTGATTGAATTTTTCATTATTCTATTATTATGTGCGATTAATGTGTAATTGTTATTTTTATAGCGATATCTTTAAATCAAACAAGTTAATGACAAATTTTCAAGAATTTCTCGATAACATATTCAAACCGTTGTTTGAAGTGACAAACGACCCTCACAGTCATCCTAATCTGCACAGGTTTTTGCAATATGTAAGTTGACTTTTTGTAAATTTTTTTTAAATATTTTTTTTTGTTTGGTTATTATTATAATTTGCAGGTTATTGGTTTTGATTCTGTCGATGATGAAAGCAAACCAGAAAATCCGCTTTTTGATAAAGATGTCTCAACTCCAGAACAATGGAGTGACATTGAGAATCCTCCGTATGGCTATTACCAGTACTACACATTTGCAAACCTGACAGTTCTAAATAACTTCAGAAAGTAAGTAGTTTTTCACTAGTTCAAGTTTTATTATTATTCATTTATATTTTGCTTAAATAAACTCATACACATATTTAATCACAACTGATCTTGTATAAGGCTTGAATCTAGGAGCCTGCCTTCGTACCTTGACTGGCCCTGATACCATCGGCATACACTTTCAGCTATTTGGTCATGCAAGTAGAGGTTGAACAGTAGTGAAGATCAGGACCGATCCTTGAAGAGATTCCACCTTTATATTTTTGCAATACAACTTACTATTAACATCTGAAGTACTATGGGACCCCCTGTATACCTAACCCTCATCCAAAATGAGACTTTTAGTATCCTTAGGGTATAAATAATAATAATAATGATAATAAATCTTTATTTGCAACAATATAAATTTATAACAAAAATAATATTTTGGTACATCTCTGCCTGCTGTCAAAAAGCAAAGCTTGTACTAGACAGCATGAGTTTTTTTGTAGATCTTCAAAGAAATAAACAGAATATATATTTACAAAAGCATAATGAAAAATGAAAAACAAACAAATAAACAAAAATAATAAAGAATAAAGGTGTAGTATGAACAAAACCAACCAAATTAAATGTTAACTTTAAAATATCTTAACTACAATTTAAAATTTTTGAAATGATAAATTGTTTGCATTCTTTGTAGTTTTTGAAATTTTGAATAATGATCCTCTTGTTATATATTTTAAAATAAAATTGCCATATTTAACATATTTAATGAAAAATTTATAATATTACCTAGGTTTTACATTGTAAAAATGTGAGTGTATATAATAAGACCAATTGTCTTGTGTTATATTCACTGATGTGTGATTAATTTACAAGATGATTGATAACTAACTAAATGAACAAAAGTATTGATCTTTTCTAGTTTCCTCAACTACAAACTTAAAATTCTTTCAAAAAAGTTAGTTGTCCCAGGGACTGGTAGGAGGGTGAGGATTCACATGGGACTACTGGCGATTTATGTATTAAAATAAACGTGTGTGGTGATTAGTAACCGTTAATCGATAATTATTCAGAAATCGTGAGATGCGGTCTGGTGTGATGTAGATTTCAGAAAAACATTTTCTTTATCGTGCCAACGTTTAGATCCTTATAGAGATCATCTTCAGGGCCTGGGATTTGCAAACATTGTTTACATTTAACAAATACATTTTGGATGTGGAAAAATGAATTTATACAATGCAAAATATATTATTTATTTTCAATCAAAGTATTTCTACTCACTCAAAGTGTTTGTCTTCTGTGTACTTGTGCCATTCTTGCGTGTCGTATCGAGAGTGCCAGTGGGATTTTGCTGTTTTATGTTTATATACGTTGGATTTTGAAGGGGTGGGGAAGGAAGTGGGTATAGAAAAGACATTTACTTAGAAATCGTGAGATGCGGTCTGGTGTGATGTAGGTTTCAGAAAAACATTTTGTTTATCGTGCCAACGTTTCGATCTTTATTGAGATCATCTTCAGGGCCTGGGATTTGCAAACATTGTTTACATTTAACAAATACATTTTGGATGTGGAAAAATGAATTTATACAATGCAAAATATATTATTTATTTTCAATCAAAGTATTTCTACTCACTCAAAGTGTTTGTCTTCTGTGTACTTGTGCCATTCTTGCGTGTCGTATCGAGAGTGCCAGTGGGATTTTGCTGTTTTATGTTTATATACGTTGGATTTTGAAGGGGTGGGGAAGGAAGTCGGTATAGAAAAGACATTTTTGTATAAGGCGTCGGCTTCTTTGAGGTGAAAAGAGCCGACGAAGGGAAAAAATGTGTTGGTAATGGTTCGGCCAGATTATCCTTTCAGGATTATATAGAAAGGGATAAATAGGAAAAGGAAAGCTAAATTGTTGGAAAATTAGACTATGTGAAAAATATTTGATGTGTGGAATGTAATGTGATGATATAGGTATGTTATCTGTATTGAATTTGATTAATGATATTGGCGTAGCTGCGACTGAGTTTACATATATCTGTTCTGTAATTGATGCTGTGTTTATCTCTTTTGATATAAACCATTTCTAATAAATTACGTTTATGTTTGTTTTGTTCTGTATGTAATATTTTTGGATTTTTGAAGTCGAAACATTTCTAAGAAATTACGTTTATGTTTGTTTTGTTCTGTATGTAATATTTTTGGATTTTTGAAGTCGAAATTGTGTTGGTGTTCAAAATGGTGGGTAGCGAGTGCTGTAGGATTTTGCTTGAGTTTTTTGCAATCATAGATATGTTGCTTTACTCTCTTGTCCAGATATTGGGATGTAAGACCGATGTAAGTTACCGGACAATTTAAACAGTTGATCTTGTAGATTACGTCAGATTTATTTGTTTTTGGTGTGGGATCTTTAATTTTGGAAAAACGTGTTTGGATTGTTTTATAATTTTTGAAAGCTATTTTGATTTTATCGGACGAGAGAAATGTGTTTAATAACAAAACAAACATAAACGTAATTTCTTAGAAATGGTTTATATCAACAGAGATAAACACAGCATCAATTACAGAACAGATACATGTAAACTCAGTCGCAGCTACGCCTCATTAATCAAATTCAATATAGATAGCATAAGTATTCTGAAATCGTGAGATGCGGTTTAGTGAGATGTAGCTTTCAGAAAAACATTTTCTTTATCGTGCTACGTTTCGATCTTTATTGAGATCATCTTCAGGGCTCAAAGTGTTGGTCTTCTGTGCAATTGTGCCATTCTTGCGTGTCGTGTTGAGAGTGCCCTCTCGAGTAGCTATCCGTAATTTGGCCGAACCATTACCAACACATTTTTTCCCTTCGTCGGCCCTTTTCACCACAAAGAAGCCGACGCCTTATACAAAAAGTCTTTTCTATACCGACTTCCTTCCCCACCTTTTCAAACTCCACGTATATAAACACAAAATAGCAAAATCTCACTGGCACTCTCAACAGGACACGTAGGAATGGCACAATTACACAGAAGACAAACACTTTGAATGAGTAGAAATACTTTGAATATAAAAAATATATTTTGTATTGTATAAATTCACTTTTCCACATCCTAAATGTATTTGTTAAATGTAAACAATGTTTGTAAATCCCAGGCCCTGAAGATGATCTCAATAAAGATCGAAACGTTGGCACGATAAAGAAAATGTTTTTCTGAAACCTACATCACACCACTCCGCATCTCACGATTTCTGAATAATTAAAGTAAACATTGAAAGATTCCCAAGAAAAACTAGTAATTCATATGTGCTCAGGAAGACTAAGCATTTTTAATTTGTAATGCAATTCTCGGTGCTACAGTTTGTCAAAGGTGTGTTGTAGATCTATGAGTGCCATTACTTGTGCTTTTTTTTAACTTTGACTATTGCATCCATTACGTGGTACATTACGCGTTGCTTGAAATTATAATTGGTATGTTGGATTTCACCAAGCTCTTTCTACGCATTGTAAAAGGCTGTTCTACTTGTTGCTGTTCAAAGATTTAGCCTTTTTCCTTGTTTTAAGAATTTGCCTAAGTATTTCTGGTGTTTTACTTTCCTGTGTACCTCCAGTAACTTGGCAGTTTAGTTGATTCAAATCGGCTATGTGATGACGTTGCCATAGTCTTCTTCGGTTATTATTCTAGATGGGGTTAACTAAACTATACACAAAACGAAATAAAATTTTCTTCTTATACAAATGAAACTACTCAATATACAATAAAAACTATATGTAACACAACCCTTAACAAAAAAGAAGCACTGGGGAAAAGGACTAAATAGAATGAATTGACATGCAAGGTGTTTCCTCTTTGAGCTCCAACATCAGAATACTTCATTTTTAATCCTCTCAGTTTAAACTTGCAATAAACGCAGTAAATTATGGGATATGTTCTGAAAATTTTAAAATATTATTTAAATGATATATGTATAACAATTGCATTATTACATCTTGTAAAATTGGTGTCATTAAAAAGAATTTCACATTTCAGGGAAAAAGGTTTGAACACTTTTGTCCTACGGCCACATTGTGGAGAAGCAGGCCCAATCCAGCATTTAGTATGCGGTTTTATGATGGCAGAAAATATATCTCATGGACTTCTCCTGAGAAAGGTAACAACTGATTTTTGTTTTTAATTATAATTTAATTTTTCCACTATCAATACGATAATGATGTTAATTTTCAAGGTCCCTGTCTTACAATACCTATACTATCTTGCACAAATTGGAATTGCAATGTCTCCACTGAGCAACAATTCACTATTCCTTAACTATCATAGGAATCCATTGCCTGAGTATTTGGCTCGTGGCCTCTGCGTTTCTTTAAGTACTGACGATCCATTACAGTTTCATTTCACTAAGGTATGTTTTTAAAATTTATGATTATTTTTTTTAACAAAGTTCTCTCTCTCTCTCTCTCTCTCTCTCTCTCTCTCTCTCTCTCTCTCTTTCACAGTCTCCCTCACCCACTCTCACTCCCTCTCCCTTTCCCTCCTTCTCACTCCCTTTTCCTCCCTCCTTCACTCCCATTCCCTCTCCCTCACCTTCTCCCTTTCACTTTCCCTCTCACTCACCTCTCCCACTCCCACTCTCCTCCCTCTCCCGCTCCCTCCTTCTCCCTTCCTCTTCCTCCCTCCTTCACTCCCATTCCCTCTCCCTCCTCTCCCTTTCACTTTCCCGCTCACTTACATCCCCCTCTCCATCTCCCACACCCTCTCCCTCTCCCTCCTTCTACCTCTCTCCTTCACTCTCATTTCCTCTCCTTCACCCTCCCCCTTTCACTTTCTTTTCACTCACCTCCCCCTCCCCTTCTCCTTCTCCCTCTCCCTCCCCTTTCCCTAGCACCCACAGCAGAATCATCTGATTTCATTTTCCCGCAAGTTTGAGATAAGTGTCCTCAGACAAATGTTGAATTGAAAGTTGAGAAGACTAAAGCCTTCAATGGATGTCTGAGAATATGTGTACCTTTTAGTCCCTTTTTTTAGACATTTCTTGTGCACAGAGTTCTATTGCATGTATCACACCTTGAAGGTTTCTCTAGGTCAAGATTTGGGCCATCGCCTCCCTCAGTCCATGTTCCATTTTGGATCTATCTTTTGTTACATTTATTTGGAAGGAAAATGTTCTTACTTGTTACATACATAACGTTTCTGACATCTCTCTTACTTTTTTTGATACTTCAAAATTTGAAAATTATTGAAATATGGAATTCTCTGTGTTTCAGGAGCCTTTGATGGAAGAATACAGTATTGCTGCACAAGTTTGGAAATTGAGCTCGTGCGATATGAGTGAACTAGCCCGTAACAGTGTACTAATGAGTGGATTTCCCCATGAGGTCAATATACACAACATATTTAACTTTTTAATATAAAATTAATCATTTATTTAAAGCGTTCAAAAAACTTGACAGTGGTATTGAAATATAAGCATGTAAAGTAAAATTTCTGTGTATTTGCGAATTAAAAAAAAAAATATATATAATCTAATATAATTGCGCTGTTAGAGGATCACATAAAAATTAATTGCAATGTTAGTTAAATGGTATATAAAATCGAATATAAAAATAAATTAAATGGGTTTTTATATAAAATGCCACATGAAAATTAATTACAAATAAAATTAAAAGTTATATATAAACAAATGCTTTTTTTGTTAATTCAAGATTTTTTAAAAATAATTATTTTCTAGACAAATTATTTTATATTTAAAAGGCATTCAAATTAATAAAGCATCTGGTTTTTATATTTAATTTTATGCAACTTTTACTTTTAATTGTAATTAATTTGTTTATGATCTTATTAGAACCCAATTATTTTATATTAAAAAAAAATCACATACATCAATTTTACGTTACATTTCATATCATCTAATTTTTTTTTGATGATTTAAGAAAAGGATTAACTTCAAATTAAAACGTGTCATTTTGAAATACAGAGCTAATATGAAATTAAAATGATTTAATTTGAAATTAAAAAGGGTTCATTTGAAATTTAAAAGGCTCATTTGACATTAAAAGAGTTAATTTGAAATTAAAAAGTTTTAATTTGAAAATCATAGATTTTATTTGTGATCAAAAACAGCTCATTTAAAATTAAAGAGGGTTAATTTGAAATTAAAAATTTTAATTCAAAATTAAAAAAATTTCATTTGAAATTAAAAAGGATTAATTTAAAATTAAAAAAGGTTAATTTGAAATTAAAAAGGGTAATTTTGAAATAAAAAAATGCTACCGTCTTACTTCTAATGGCTCTCTCTTTAAAGGATGATTTTTTTTCATTTCTAGATGAAGCAGTATTGGTTGGGGCCAAACTACACGAAAGAAGGAATCGCTGGAAATGACATAACTCGAACCAATGTACCAGACATTAGAGTAGCCTACAGGACTGAATCTTTGATTGACGAACTTTCAAATATTTTTAAGTTTTAAAGAAACAAATTAATGTGATGAGTAGATAGGAAACCAATATTCAAATCAATATTTGAGTGAACTACATTTGCTGATATTGTGAAAAGGGAAAAAAATAGTTTAGACGTATTTTCTTAACCTTTACAACCTTTAGAAATTCACACAGTTACTTCCCCCATTTAAAAATAATGGAATTGATAACCAATATACCTTTTATGGCATTACTCTTTTTCATGATTACATATATTTTGTATTTTGTCGGATTTAATAAGTTATGTTTTCAATTTTATCAATTTTTACAATTTATGTTGTGAAGCTTTGATATGTGAGAGAAATATTTTTATATCCTTTTATGATCTTTTCATGTTTTTTTTTATTTTATGATTTTATTGGACACAATTTATATTACTTAATGAAATAAAATATTCAATGGCAGATAACGATAATGCTGGCCTGAAGATTTATTTACCCTTTAAAACCAAGCAATTCCAAAACTATTGATGCACGATTGTCAAAAGTGCACAGTAATGTTGCTCTGTACCTTGCCAAGCTTTTGGAAAGATTGTTGGCTAGAATAAACCTATCGTGGTCATCTAGTTCTCTACAAAAAAATTGAAAATATTGATGAAATATTAATTACAACAGAGACAATTTGGGAGAAATGTTGCTGCTTTGCTGAAAACCTGATAAAATAACTTAATAAAAATGAATTATGCTGTAGGCAATCAACGATTGGTTCCACTTTATTCTATGTTTAACATTATAATAGTAGGGTAATCTCAGTTTTGAAAATCCTTGGCCCATCATAGTGCACACCTCATTTATGATTGAGCGACTAGCGAAGTTAGTTATTTTTTATTTTTATATTTTATTTTTTTAAGCAAGAAGCAAACTTGATATTCGTTTTTTTGCATTACAAAAAACCGTGGAATACAAATTTTTGGAAAAATCTAAACATTTGTTTATTCAATTATTTGCCTTACAGCACACAGCAACCTTATTGTCTTAGATTTTTGTCTAAAATTATAAAAATAAAGATAACTTTTAGTTCCTTCTAGCTTTTAGAACTTATAAAATATAACTTATAAAAAAATTGGAACTGGACCTATAAAATAATACATTTGAGGAAAATTCACTAAATTCGTGGTCCACTTGACCAATTAATATATTACAATTAATTAAGGTTTCTAGTTGAGATAAAAAAGTCAATGTCACGAGCGGGATTCGAACCCACGATCTTCGGCTTGATACGCCGCTGCTCTACCACTTGAGCTATCGTGGACCTCGATCCACTTGGACACCAACTTCCCATCTCAACCGCACATTTTGAATTTTCCCTCCTTTTTGCCTTTTTTCAAATGTCGTGTAATCGGATTGGATTCTCGACGACAAATGAAATGGCAAAAAGGACGGAAAATTCAAAATGTGCGGTTGAGGTGGGAAGTCGATCTAGTTCTCTACAAAAAAATTGAAAATATTGATGAAATATTAATTACAACAGAGACAATTTGGGAGAAATGTTGCTGCTTTGCTCACGATAGCTCAAGTGGTAGAGCAGCGGCGTATCAAGCCGAAGATCGTGGGTTCGAATCCCGCTCGTGCCATTGACTTTTTTATCTCAACTAAAAACCTTAATTAATTGTAATACATTTGAGGAATGTTTATTGAATTCGTAATTATTTTTTCTTCACTTATGACATAAAATTTTAAAATTATTGAAATAGGCTAAAATAAGATGAATTCAGCTTTCCAAAAGATGTATTACTGTGGACATTGGATAAACTCCAAAGCAGTTATGCTTTTTTTTAAATTGAAACACTGTATATCAACTGTGATTCCATCCAAAAAATGTACATTTTTTAATTCTATGAAAATTCTTATTTAAGAGTTTTAAAGATGATGAAAATAAATACATATTACATCGTGATTATCCCTGGAGTCATCTTAATGGAGGTGTCAGTGGCCAGAATGGTTTAGGTGTACTGAATAGGGGTACAGTCAGAAGAAACACTATGCAGATACTACCAGGAATAGGAGGAGACTGCACAACACAATTTCTATTTTGTGAAGGTCTTTCTAGTTGTAAATTCTTGCTTCCAAGAGAGGAAAAGACGCAAGCAAGATCCTACACTAAGAAGCTGCTCGCAAGGCTATGCAGGTTGATTAACAACTTGAAGCTGGCCAGTGAATTATAAAAGCAGCGGAGCACAACATATCTACTCAGGTTGAGGTGCAGAAGGCCTTGTGGTACCCTATTTTATCCCTGTTCCTTAGGTGTTGACATGGCGCTCATCACTGTAAGGTTAAAGTCCCGGGTTCGAATCCAGTGGCCCTGCATTCAACCCTGACATTCTTACAAATCTTTTGTTTTTTTTCAAAAACACCAACACCCCTTGGGGTGATATGACCTCTGCTGTTGTGAACCCTTGTAAAAGAAAAACGAAAAAAAAAAAATAAAATAAATGCTGATGTAAACTATTGAGCTACGCATCGGACCCTCTCTTAAACATCATGCCTAATCTCTGCCCAAATTTGTAACATTTATTAGAACTCTTTTATTGAATGTATATTAATCCATATTTGCTTAGTGGTCATAATTGACCATATTAATTATTCCAATAAATTATTCTTTTTATTTCAGGTGTTTGGCTGAGATGAAAAATTAGTGTCTTGAGCAGGATTCGATCCCACATGAAAATATGGCAAAAAGAGGGAAAATTCAAACCGTCGTAGGTTGAGATGAGGAGTCGGTGTTTGAGGGGATAAAAGTGACGATAGCTCAAGTGGTTAGAGCAGCAGTGTTTTGAATCGAAGGTCATGGGTTCGAATCCCACTGGTGACAAAATTTTTCATCTCAGCTCTCTTTATTGGAATAAGTAATTTGTAAGGTTATGTTAAATAAAGTTTTTAAAAACTCAAAGAAACTAGAAACCTTAACTTTCATAAATAGTTGCCAACTCTACTGGAAGCACATTTTGGTTTTGTAACATTTTGTATATCTGCTTTCTTTTTATAGTATCCTATATAATTTCTTATTCTAAGGAAAAACAAATGAACAAATTTATAATAACCTTGTAATAGGTGCACAACAAATGCAGTAAACAATATTAAAAAAATGTATAATAGAATTATATAATTTTATGTATCAGCCCATTGGGAATTATGCTAGGGCAGGTTTCTAATATTCTTCCTCCTTGTATCACAAAACAAGTTACAACCTGTAAGCTCTCCTTGTAAGTGAAGAGTATTCTTAAAAAATATGTTACTTTAACGAAGCAAATTATGGTCTAATAATGTCAAAATATGGAAAAACTAGGCGACTGTTTATATAGCTTTTGAATGTCAAATTAACATTTTTCAATTTCAAATTAACCTTTTAATTTCAAATTATCCCTTTATTTAAAACATTAAAAAAACTATAAGCATGTAAAGTAAAATTCATGTATATGCAAATTTTAAATTTCAAATATACATGAATTTTACTGTACTTGCTTATAGTTTCATACCACCTCCTAAGTTTATTGTTTTAAATAAAGGGATAATTTGAAATTAAAAAGGGTTAATTTGAAATTGATAAAAATATGCATGGGCAAATGAGCACACACGTTGTGGTTTGTTTATTTTGCATACTTTTATCCAAGAAAACTTTTACTTCAGAATTAAACCAGTACTGTTAATCCAAACATCCATGTGTGGAACCATTTTCAACTCTGAAAAACTGCTGACATCCACAATAAATCAACGAATCTAACATACATCTAAAGTGCAATTCTGCCCTGAAGGCCGAAAGATTGGCATGTGATTGCAGTTTCTTTTGTTCTTTTCGTTTTTTTTCTCGTTTTTTTACCATAACCAAATCCACACCTTACAATTCTTCTTTAAATTGGAAATTTTTTTTAAAAATGTAAAATGGTTTACAATTTTTATGCAAAGTGTGGTTGAGATGGTGGGACTCGGAACCCACGACCTTTGGTTAAATACGCCGTTGTTTTAACCACTTTGGCTGTCATGATTTCAGTCCACTGAGGCACCCTCATCATCTCAACCTACAACTTTTTTGAAAATTCCCCCTTTGTGGCAAAATTGAAGGTCGTGGGTTCGAATTCCGCTCGTGACACTTATTTTTCATCTCAACCACACTACATAAAAATCATAAATCAATAGAATAATTACTTTGGTTAACTAGGACCAACTAAAACACACACACACACACACACACATATATATATATAAAACGAAAACTACTTAACCAATTTCGTTGAAACTTTCACACTTTGTTTTTATTAGTACCGGGCGGGTTTAGAGACTATAAAATGGGCATATAACAAATAATGGGCATCAGAATTTACAAAAAAGAGAAATAACACTTTTTATTATCTCCCTAGGCAACGCCGGGTTATAAAGCTACATACCATAAAATGGGTTTATATCCAAAATGCCACATGAAATTTATTTACAATAATTATAAAAATTTAAATAAAATTACTGCAGAAAGCGAACAATTCTTCTATTATCTCGAGAGATTTTTAACTATAGAATAATTGATCTATAAAATAGATATTAAATATTTTTCAAAATCCTCAAATTATTGGAATAATAATTTGTTTTTCAAAAATCTCGAACTATTAGAAGAATAATTTATTTTTATAGTTAATTTTATATTATCTTTTCGTAAGATTTTTAAGAAACGAATTATTCTATATTTGTAAAAATCTAGAATTAATAGAAACATCATTTGTTGATATTTTTAATCTATGTACAAATTTTACTTGTAATTGGTATAAATTTTCATATGGTTTTTGAAAAGATCAATTATTTTACATGTTAAAAAATCCCGAAGTCTAACAGATGAAGAATAATTGGATTTTTTATATTTAATTTTAAATAATTTTTAATTATAATTATAATTAATGATCATAAAGGGTACATGATTATATTTACATTACATCTTATTTAAATTTTATTTATTTATTATTTTAAATTTTATTATTATTGTAAATTACTATTTTACTTGATTATATGTAATACCATCTACTTAGGTTTTTAATGCTTTAAGAAAGGGTTTATTTGAAATTAAAAAAGGTTATTTTGAAATTAAAACAGTGTAAGTTGAAATTAAAAAGGGTTCATTCGAAATTATAAAAAGTTTACTGCGAAATTAAAAAACGTTATTTTGAAATTAAAGATGCTATATTCTTACTTCTAATGATTCTTTCTTTAATTTTTAGGAGAATCAATATTGGTTTGTTAAAAAAAGTTAATTTGAAGTTAAAAAGAGTTAACGTTAGTAATTTAATCACGTAGTGCAGGTTTGCGTCGTTCGCCCCTACTTCATGTGCCAGTCGGTTTTAGATTAATTTCGCCTTTAGGATCGTATTTTCAATGCAAAAAATTTTGATTATGCAAATG